TTTTAGGACTATGACTCTGCTATTGCCATATCAGAATATCATAAGATCACAATACATGAACATTCAAACATTCAAAAGATATCAATTTATCAAAAATTAGAAGAGAAGAACATGGGACCTAGAGATCTAAATTCATCAAGGCTTACAGGAAGACTCCCAATAGAACATAATCAATGATGTTACATTTAAAAAATGTACTTCCAGTAAGAAAGATTTGGACAAAGATAGAGGCAATAAGGATAATCTTTCTACTGTAAATCGTTTTACTTTATTATTTTTTGTTTGTTTGTTTGTCTGAGACAGGGTCTCACTCTGTCACCTGGGCTAGAGTGCAGTGTTGTGATTATAGCTCACTGCAACCTCAAACTTCTGGGCTCAAGCAATTCTCCTGCCTCAGCCTCCGAGTAGCTGTGATTACAGGCACTTGCCACCACGCCTGGCTAATTTTTCTATTTTTAGTAGAGACAGGGTCTAGCTCTTGCTCAGGCTGATCTCCAATTCCTGGCCTCAAGTAATTCTCCTGCCTCGGCCTCCCAAAGTGCTAGGATTATAGGCGTGAGCCACCCCACCCGGCATATTGTTTTATTTTTCAAATACCTTAATTCTCAATACTAAACAGCCTAAAAATATGTGGGTGGGGTAGATTTGGGGATGGAACAAGGTGCAAAAAATAACAGCACCGTTGCAGTTAATTGCCTGCAAATACCTACCTTTTTTAGTTTCTTTTCCCCCTTTTTTAAAAAATTTTGATAGTCATAACATATTCTTCTGATAACCATAAAGAAATTAAATCAGAACTTAAAATTTTTTTCTAATAAGAACTAAATGTAAAGTACATTGTATATATACACAAACCTAAGTACTACAATTCAAAACAGAGCAAGATTTTACATCAAGCCCATCTTGTGTTATAGTGGGTGTGTCCTATGGAAATCCAACCAAGGGTGACTGCCAAACTAAGCTATGGAAAACAACTCAGAAAGCTGGTGAGTCCCATATTATAGGATATATTTCAAAAAGTGCACTGGAACACCCACTTGACGAGATTACCTGATATCACTCCACCCTCATGATAACACTCTTCTATTTCTGTAATACTGTTCTTGTCAGTAAAACATGGGTCAATATTGGACATGGCAGACACTCTGAGACGATGACATTGTAGAGACACCAGTTATCTAACCCACAAGGTAATATCACAATTTTATGTCCCAATCCTAATAACTTTGTCTCTCTGCTAAGCAACCCAAGAGGTCAACTGATTCCTTTAAGCCTCAATTTCCATGTATGAAAAATAGAAATCATAATATACTTCTGCTTCACTAGGTTCTAAAAATGGAAACTAGCTAAGAAAAAAATGAATGTGAAGCACTTTGAAAAGAATAAACTAGATTCCCTGACCTGATTATTAGTCAGAGCCTCGTAAAACTAGACTTACTACTTCTTCCAATTCCATACATGCTACCTGGCTATCAAAACTGACTGATAAATAGTATTGACTACACAGTTGATCCACTTACGGGTTTTAAAGTAATAGAAACAAATTTTGTGTCACGATGTATTGCCATACCATTTAAGTAACTATTTTCAAAGTAAATGTACTTATTGGCTTTATAAAAGTAGACGATAAGAAAAATAAGATTAATTACAAATTTTTGAACCTCAGAAAATTTCCAAAATAGTCAGCTGCAGGTGTAGAACAGTTTAAAACTGATACTGAAGCAACTATGCGAGAATCGGAAATGAGCTAAGCCAGAAACAGAAGGAATCATAAAGTTTCATCTGATGGGCCAAAATACAATATGAATTATTTTTATATTGTTCTGAGTTGTCTGTCTCAGATTCTTAACTTCCAGATTCTATTTTTAAAATCACTTAACCTAGTGTATTTCCAGTAGCCATCAAGGCATATACTGTCATCCCTGACACAGAAGATTGTCAGCAGACTCAATATGTACACTAATGATCTCAGGCAACAATGCCCATCTTCTTATCAAAGAGATCCTTATTCCAGAAGAAAAAGTTTAAAGTTCTCTAAGAAAATTCATTCTAAAACACAGGAAGTAGTCATTATAAAAAGTTAGGATCACTAATACCTCTTACTTCTTTTTAAGATTATCTCACATGTTGAATTTTAAAACCAAAATCTATCAGGCATTATAACATTTTTAGTTCTCTCCCGAGCCACCGGTACTCTATTCTCGCACTGTCAAATAATGATAGCTGCTGTCATTATTTTTTATACAATAGCTGGCATCAAGTTGTACAGATACCCTTCATCTTAGAATAGTCACCGAACAACCTAAACAAATGACTAGGACCTTACAGTAGTACAGACCATTTTCCTAAAGCCAAACTAAGTGGACTATCACACCTTATTGATACTGTTTATGGTCAGAATGTCAGCTATTTTATAAAAATCAAAGGTTTTACTTCTTTTATTTTTTTCTAAACTGTCTAAAAATAACTTTTTTCCCCTTACACATATATTCCCATCCTCTTCTTCCTGCTACTGAAAACTATCTTATTCTATCATGAAGGTTTTCACATTTACTTTTAGCTTTAGCACTTTCAATCAAAATTTCAATTCTGTATTTGGAAGCAGCAGCCCTCCAGGAAGTATATTTGAAAATATAAAAAAACGCAAAAAATAAGTTATTTTCATTTAACAAAGTCAACAATGCATGTAAAGGGATTTAGGAAAACCAGTGATCCCAGACACAGTGATTTGAACAAGCCACACACACATAAAAATTATTCCAAGTTACAGAAAAACATCTGAGGGACCTATACCGATTCTAGGTCTCTTGTCCTAACTAATAGACAAGAGTCCCTCTCTACCACTATTTGCTTTGGCAATCTAAAATGCTGATATTCTCCTAGATCTAACAGAGAGGAAAAATGGGTATCTTCTCCATCTAACACCTAAGTGGGTTACCTAGATACTGTAAATAGAGGCTACATAAAGGATGCAACAGACAGCTCTGAAGTGAGAGCCAAAATATTTAACCTGCAACTCTTTGGAAAAGAACCTGAAAACATGTGCAGCTTAGTCAAAAACTGTACTAACATGGAATTGCTATAGGCTAGTAAATGAAAAAAAAAATCTCTTTATCAAACATAAGTTTACTATTGTTGGGTGAGAAAAGCTCAAATGTCAACAGCACAGTTCTTATTTGTTCAAACCGATCATGCCTATACTCTGCACGGTCTATTTAAAAATATGAGTGAACTGCCTTTTTGAAGCAAGTACTTACAAAATCAGAATCAAATTCACAAACAAAGGAGCCAATTAACCAATAAACAAGCATTTCCCTGCTAATATTCTGGTGGTGGCTAGAGGATGACAGTCAAGTCTCCGATTAATAGTTACTCTCTACCCCATGTATTCAGTGTTTCTAAAGCCAACAGCTAAATATTTAACTAACAGAAACTGTATATAATCTATCTTTAATTTCTTTGAGAAATTATGTGAAAGTTATCTGAGGAAAAAAAACATATTCTGCCAAAGAATGAGTAACATTAAATATTGAAATATATAAAAATTCTATTGCCCACATTGTAGTAATAGTATAATTTTTATCAAATCAATCAATAAAAAATTAAATTAATGCAAAAGATCCATTGTAAAAGATTAGCACTATACTCTAGTATTCAACTAAACTGTATTAATAATTTTTCCTTTAAACATGATAAAGGAATTTCAAGAAATGCTTCTAGAATGAAATTTTCTTAGGAAGTTTTCCCCATTAATAAAAAGAAATTATTTAAATAAATAAGTCATAATAGTTCAATCATAATTTCAAGACAACCGCTAAAATCACAAAGTTAATAAACTGCAAAATATATTCAATGGTATTCTATATATTTTTGTTTATAATTCAGTAGTCTTTACTAATTACAAAGCTTGTAGATTTATAATAACCTTAACTTTTGACAGATGTTAATAGAGAAGTGAAAAAAAAGTTGTTCTCTCTGAATAATAAGAATTAACTTACAAATATGATCATAATTAAGTAGATGATTCAGTTTTCTTTAGTTACTAAATCTTTGGGGGGAAAAGGGAAAGAAAATGTCTCTCCTTCACATATCACCCAAATAGAATACTTGTAAATTAAATTGTAGTTACATATAAATCAGGTATCCTTTCCTGAATATAATACATAAGGGAAACAAGATTTCAAATTACTTTTGAGTAGGAGTAATAAAGCACTTGGACTTGATAACTAAACTGATAAAACATTACAATTAAGAGAAAACCAGCCACATTCTTAATAAATAAAACTATTTTGTCTTCTGTCACTGACAGCATGTAACCTGCGTTTTTATTACATAAAAACAATGTATACTATATCAATGAATGATCATTTATCAAAAATAGTAATAAAACTATCTATTCTTGCAAGTTCAAAACATTCTTCTAAATTTTCTCAGTTCTCTGGACATTCTAAAACAAAGTACTTTTAACTTTGTTAGAGAAATGGATGTAAATGAGTTCCATAAATTATCAATTACACTTCGCCTATAATGCTTTGGTGGAGAAACTTTCAGGTTTAAAAAAAAAGAAAAAAAAAAAAAACAAGTAATACTGCAATTCTACCACTCATGGTTTAACTTTGTGCCAAGGCAATATAAAATTATTTCAATTTTTTACCATGAAGAGTCCTTCTAAAGTGACATTTCCATATTTTTTATCCAACAACAACAAAAAATCCAGTCATAAACCCGGCAAGTCAAAACAGTAACCAGCAAATTCTAACCTTTCTTACCTGACACAGGTAAGCACCAGTTCCCAAATGCCACCTTGGGATAGTTCAGACTAGTAAGCAGGCTCATGTTTTATGACACTAGAATGAACAGGAATAAATCTGTGTTGTTCTTTCTTTAGCAAAATCTATAGCAGTAGCTACACCACAATGTGAGAGGACCCCACAGACCTAACAAATTCAAGTCTGTCGCTAGAGAAATAGAAAAAAAAAAATCATAAAATGAAGACTTACTGCTTGTCATGTGACTTGGTGAGGCATGCTGTCCATTGGGTGTGCTTGAAGTGAGGTCAATTGCCATACTGGAGTGCTCCCTTTCAGGTGAAAGCTCATTGTCACCTGTTTTCACAAAATAAAATCTTTTGGTCTCTATTCATTGTCACATAAAATCTAACTTTGCTTCGTACACATAGTGGTATGCATGCATAGCCTTGAAATTGTAGGATAATAAATTTTTCCCTTAAAGGAAACTATAAAGAAACATCATTTAGAAGTGTACAGTAAATTAATGAAATGATGAAAAGCCACATTAGCCCACAACAAAAAAAATTAACAAAACTTTATTATCCTGATATGTGTAAAATAAGGGGAAATGAAGTAATTAATTTTTAAAGTATCTTTTAGTTGAAAAAATAAGTTTTCTTTTAACATCTAATTTAATTATTAAGCATACAGGATTTATAATGAGCATTTTCCAAAATGCTCACTATTAGGAGTTAGCTATAAGAGACATGTTTGAAAAGAGAGTTGGCTAAAAAAAAAAAATGTCAACTTAAGGAAGCTGATTCTCTTTCACACTATGTCCGAAAAAATAAGTTACAGAGTAGTAAATATTTAATACACACTATATTAGTAGACATATATGTAACCTGACCTATTCTAAACTTACAGTAAAGTAAATGAAAAAAAAATCAACTAGGAAAGTGTTGATCTGCTAACCTAGTATTGATTTAAATATTATCCTTCACTTAGTAAGTAATAAGTATATTTCTATATTTCCTTCTTATTTCACTTCTGTGCTGTTATTTTCTCAAACCCATCTAAAGGTGAAATTGTAAATAGAGTACAGAATTCTCAATAAAAATTCTTAATAAAAATCTTATAATTCAGGAATTAAAACACAGGTAATACAAAGGTAACTTTATTACCAATAACAAATTAATGAAAATGAATACTTACATGTTATATAGCCATCAATAGCCTCTGTTTCCATAGTCAAAGTGCAGTGCTGCAAAACAAAAGATTATGCCCTTAACACAATGATTCCTTTCAGTATCTGCCATTAAATTCTTAACTTATTTGAAGCTCCAAGCAGTTAGTCCATGTTGCTGCTGCAACCTGTGCCTAAGAAACATACTACAGCGTACTGTATGTGCTCATTTGCAAGCCACTGAACTCTTTCTGCAAATGATCTGATTCCTTCTGGAGATAGGATACGAAAGATAAGTGTGCTGTGAGATGGACTATAGCAGGAAAGCAATGGCTTTCTTAATCAAAATTTACTTAAAGAAAAAAAGGGGGGGGGTACAAATCAAATGTGCCAGCTTTAACTGGGATTTAAGTATTTTACCATTCACTACTTCCCACAATCACACTGCAGTTTGAGGACTTCCCTAGTATACAGATAGCTCTATTCACAATTGTTGCAAGTTGGTTCATCATGTTCTAATAGGGAGGGGGAGGACAAACAAACATAAGAAAACAAAACAAAACAAAAAACTTAGTGCCTGTGTCTTGAAGATTTCTGCAACAGTTCGCCAACTCCCTGACTTGTATTGACATTTTAGCCTACCCCAAGCTCTGTGTAAGCACCTGTTCAATGTAACCTTAATTTCCTGCCAGACCGTGGTTGCATACAAATGCCAAACCTACTTAATATATTCTGATTTTGAAAATTTCATAAACTTTGGCTGTGCAGGAGGGAATCACTTTTTTTTTTAAAGTTTGGGGAACTAATTTCATGCACCACTGACACAAAACAGAACTTAATTCTCAGAAACAAAAGTAAATTGTATGAGATGACACCCCCTAGCTTTGATTCACATAATGAAAAGATCGATAATCTAACTGTATTCTTTTTGAAAGAAAAAGTTTAAGAATTGACAAGTCCTGAGGAGATTTTTACTTTTTTTTTTTTTTCCTCTGGCCTTGGTCCTTTTTGCCTTTAGTTTCAAAACTCTCACTGCACCAGCAGCTAAATTATTCACAATGAGCCATTTCTGTATTGATCGCCAAGTATATTTAGCCCTGGCTCCTGGAATTTCTCCATTACTTACTGGAAAACAGGCAGCTTCACTTCTTGTCTCCAAAACCACTTCCCTTCTCCCTCCCCTCCCTTTCTTCACCACCACCCTCCCTACCCCCCCCCAAAAAAACTTTTCTTTCTCTCTTTTCTTTATGGAATAATCAGATCAAATTCCCAACTCAGTCACTACATAGCACTTAAATTTCAACCTGCTGTACTGTTATCAAATTCTTTCAAATTATGATTACATAAGGCTTTAAAGAAAGGGTTCCGTAAAGTTTAAAAGGGGAGCAGTTTCTTCGGATATTTTACAAATGAATTTATCTCTTTAAAAATGTACACATTTAACACACACATATTAGAAAGAAACGTCAGGGAGAAGCGAAAGAAGTCTGCCCCATCAATGAAATGGTTATTAACCCTCAGAGAAGGAAAGAAAGAAAGAAAAAGGAGAAAGAGAAACGAAATGTACATACAAAAGAAATTGTCCTTTGATTAAAAAAGATTCATCACCATTTCCAGCTCTGTCGGGAGATCTCAGCTTCTTCTAACCCCTCAAAGAGGAGGTGACAATGTCGGGCTGAAGATAAACGGAGGGAGAAAGAAAGAAGTTTTTTGTGTTCCCCCTTCTCTCTTTCCCTCCCTTGCCCCTCCAAGCCAAGCCCCCCGCAGAGTTCAAGGCGAGGAGGAAGGAAAAGCACTTTACAGGTGGGTCATTCCAAGCCCAAATCCAGCAAACAGATCGGCTGATAAACAAAACCAAGAAATGAGAGAGAAGGAACACCCCCCTTCTCCTCCTCCTCCTCCTCCTCCTCCTTCCACCCCTCCCCCTCGTCCCTTTGGGATGGTCTAGTAGGAAAAGTCACTCAGGAATGGCACCACGTACTTTCAGGAAAGAGGAAAAAAAAAAGAGAGAGAGAGAGAGAGAGAGAGAGAGGTCAGTCAGTGCTACAGCAATGCGATTAACAAGAGAAAAAACTTGATCCACCGGTTCCTTAAGAATCGACCAAAAGCTAAGACAAGAAAACTGAAAGAAAAGGGGAGGGGGGCGGGTAAGAGGGGAGGGACAGTCAGGCAGAACCCAGCAAGGAACCTAGGCCAACTTCACAGGACTGTTTTTTGGCCCTTGGCAAAAAAGAAAAAAAAAAAAAAAATTAAATCTTAATTCCATCTCTTTCGCCCATACTAGAACCTGTCAAAGTGATTTAGCTGCTGCCTTTTTATGTGTGTCATACCAGTTGTTTTTTTTTTTTTAATTCCAACAGGATCTGGATATTACCTTCTATCTGGACAGCTGGAATTTATTCCACGCTACCCAATCTTTCTTCTTGGAATTCAAGTTAAAACAAAGCAAAACAAGTCCAAATCCATGACAGCTATAGAGATGAGAACTGATTAATCGATTAACATCCCAGAAACAGAATACACAGAGGGGACGATAAATTAAGGCAGAGGACATCATCTTCAACCCGATTCCCTGAGCGTCCTTTACAGAAATCATTACCCTAATCATAACCACAATCCATCTCTCCCAGAGAAAAATACCTATATTATCATCACTGGTTAACAGCAACAAGTCATTTGATCACATCACAGTGCAAAACGAGATGCTACATAATTACACTTAACTTTGAAAACACTCCCCCCTTTGCAAATCATACACATATTTATATATAATCTATGAATCAGAAGACAAATAAAACAAGAGCTGTTCTTCACCACGCAAAAGCCAAGCGGAGATTTACCTCAGCAGTGCATGCAGTAAAATAATCCCATCACCCTTTTGTTTGTGTTTACTGTTAATGTGTCCTCTCTCTTTCTTTCTTTCCTGTGCCTAACGTGTGTTTGTGCACTGCAGTTGGTGGTGGAAACTAAGGCAGTGGATCTGTAGCTAAGGGTAATCCTGTTTTTACTTCCTCCATCTTCAGCGAGGAGCAGGGTTAGCCCGGGACAGCTGGTCAAACCCCGAGAAACCGATCCGGCGGAGCCCGAGCACATCTCCCCCGCCGGCCGGGCTCGCGCAGACGCCCGCGGGCGGAGGGCGGGCTGGTGGCAGCAGCGGGCTGTGGGACCCCGGGCGCAGGCGGACGGACGTGCGTGCGCGCCCGCGTGCGTGCGGGTGTGCGGGGCCTGAGCGCTTGTGTGTGTGTGCGTGTGTGTGTGTGCGTGTGTGCGCGCGCGCGGGCTGGAGGGCGCGTGTGCGCGTGTCTGCGCGCTCAGCCGCTCGGCGCGCTCGGCAATCGATTACAGGACAAGTGCTGCCCCGGCGGCGCCGAGACGCGCGCACTCCCTCGCGCCCACCCGCGCTCCCAGCCGCGTCGCCCCCCGCCCGTCGGCCCCGGACGGCGGACCCCGCCCCCAAAGGGGGCCAGGTAACCCGCTTCCGAGCATGCCATGGAGACCCTCCTGCTCCCCTCCTTTCCCCGTGTCATAACAAATCTCACGTTTTCTGCTGGCTGGGAAGGGAGGATTGGAACGGTGAGGGGAGGCTCATTTCGGCCGCGTGAAGTTTTCTTTCAAACTGGGATTTGTGATGAGGCCGGCGAAGGGAGCGGGACGGCGATGCGGCCGCGCTGCGCGGAGCTCCGGGATAGGCGTCCTGGCCTGAGTCTGGGTGTGCTCCTGGACCCACCCACCCACTCAGGCTTCGCAATAAACTATGCCGTACAATTTCCGAAAACTGCACTCCGGACCAGGACGCCAAGCAGGCTAGAGGGGTCCTGGGGAATAGACTGAGAAAGAAATTCAGGTCTGAGATGAAGCTCCACTATTACTATTTTGAAAGTGCTTTACAGGGCAAGTTTAAAATTAGTGTTTACTTGCTTTTTCTCCCCCATGTGCCGCATCCTTCAAAGTCAAAGGAATGGATGAGGATCCAAAAAATTGTTACCCTTGAAGTGCTGCCTATCAATACCATCGATCACGGCTTCTTGATTGGGGTTAGAACATACATGAATCGTCATGAGAAAAACAAATGTATATTCTTTCTACAAATAGTAGCATTTAGTATCTTCCTTGACCACATTTGCAAAAAGAGGGAATAGAGACTTCTATAATTAAAGGGAAAAGGAAAATGAAAGGAGCTGAAAATAGTGAACTGTGTAGTCTGGGTGGCTTAAGTTTGAAAACACATGAAATTATCAGGACTGCCAAACAGCATTTCTGAGAAACCATATCACAGATTGTGAAGAAAATCAATGCTGAGAGAGTAGGAGCAGGCACCGTACTCCTCCTACTCTTTTCAAGAATCCCAGAAATAGTTGCTGAGATTTTTTTTCTGCTGAGGAAAGAGAAATGATATATTGAAAATTAAATCATCAGCTGTATCTTAAGCACCACTCTATGTCAGGAAAATTTTGGATAATGTCTTGTCTTTAGATTTTGATGTGGGGAAGGAATTTATTCACATTATTACACACTAAATAATGAAACCCATATAGCTTGTATAATTATTTAGATTTTGAAATGAATTATTTTTTAAAAAGTCTGTTCCATGCATTGTGTTATCAAACAATTGTAACAATAGGCTCTTTTTTTAATTGTCGAAATTGATGGTGTCATACAGCAAACAAGATTAACCGATTTTCATTGGAGAGAAATTATGTAGGCTCAGGCTTGCAACAACTTTCTGATCATTTTAAGAAATTGCAATTTCCGTGAGTTATATATTGGAAAAACATATTTTTTAACTTAGCTGCCAATTACCTAAATAAAATTAGTTTTCCTCAAGTCTTATTTATTTGGGAAAGAATGAACAGAGAACCCATAAATCATTCTAATCATTCCAATGGACAGCAAAGATTTTAATCTTAAATTACCTCAGGAAATTGGGGTGCTGTTCATAATATCTAAATGCCCAATATATAGAGGGTAGCATAAATTCTCTAAATTGTCATAAATCTTTCCTAGCAACTAAGCCTAAGTGTTTAAATATCTGTGAAGTTATGGGGGACCTTAGAAAAGATGAGTTAAAACATTCAAAATTAAAATGAAATCTCTTCATAGTTCAAACAATTCAATTCTTTGATAGAAGAGAATCCATTGTGAGGTCTAAGATACATCTTCAAGTTCCCCAAAGCTACCATAGTTGATATAGTCCTTGCCCCTGGCTGATTAGAGCTTAATTTAGCGCCCTGAAGCCTATCCTTTACATGAGTTGACTTTCATTGGCTCCCTAGTCACCAGAGGCACACTTTCTCCCTCTAGTGGCTAAGCCTTCGGACAGTTTACATTCTATCACCCTGTCTCCCCATGAATGGGAGATTTGGTCAGGGGGCATTGAATCGCAGATTTTAGAATGGCAAAGATCTCATGAACACCTGTGAGAATTAGACCATCTTGGCAAACGTTTTCTTTCTTTTTAACATCTCGTGTTCCTTTCTCATTCGCAGATCATGGTGTATCCAACTCAACCAGAGTAGTCAGGATTATGTGTTCATACTAAGATTGTATGTTCTGTTTCATGCCTGTGGAAGCTGTAGTCCTGGCACTAAGACTCACAATGAAATCCACTGATGGGAAAGAACCCTTGTATAAACTATATTAATTCACTTTGTTCAAATTTCTGTGGACAGTATTTTGATAGTTGTTAGAGGATGCATTTATTTCTGTCCTTTGCCATAACTACACTGTACACATTTTTAAAAGCACATATATTACTATACTGTGCATGAAAATATACCACCAGGGAAGTGGAATTCATATTCTTTGGCCACTGTATCCAGTTGGAGAGTTACATTTTCCGCTTTGGGGAGGAGGTGGGGAGGTGGGGAGAAAACGTAGTCCACCCTTACCATTTTTCATATAGCTGGTTCTTTCTCATCCTTTCTGTCCCATCCTTTCACAACTGCTCCTTCCCAACACCAACTCCTGTGTTAGCACCTGCAAATATTTTATTAATGTGTTGAGTTTTAAAATAAAATCTGTCTTTCCCACTAGAATATGATCTTTTTAAGGGCAGGGATTATGTCTGTCCTGTTAATCATTGTTTTCTCAGAACTAGCACAGTGCAATGTTTGGTACAAGTTGGTCCTCAATAAACATTTACTGAATGAATACAGAGGAAATTATATACTCACCTACCTTTCCTGTATAAAGCTCTATTTTCAAGGGACAAAAAGGATTGGATTTCAAAGATACCTTCTGATTCCATAAATAATTTCATCAAATCCTGGCTTATAAGTCATATTACAAATATCTGTAACCAGTCAGCTCTGGTCTGTGACCCAAATGAAGGATGAGAACTTCTTGAGAGATATTATAAAATAAAGTTTAGAAATATAAATAGTAAAAGTAGTTAAAACGATATATAAAATGCAATTTTTGAATAAAACACACTTATGTGACCTCTCTGTTTCATAACCAAATTATTTCATGTTGCTACCTGACAATTCATGAACCAGGGTGACTATCAAAGAATTCAACAAGTTTAATTTTATAAACACTAAGTGCAATTATCAAAAGAAAAATTTTACAAAGCAGTGTAACTAAAAGGTACATTACGGAGTACTGGTTTTGTTTTCTTTGGATGGTTTGTTTTATCTATTTTAGATTTAAAAGCCTTAAGTATACTTTAAAGAAACTGGGATAAAAATCTCATTTTTGTTTTCTTAAGAAATTAACTCCATATTTTTAAATTTGGGTTTTTTTTTGTTGTTGTTAGCAGAGGGTTAGAAAATTTGGAAAATTGCAATTCTTTCCTACTATCAAAGAATAAAAAATTTGGGGAAACTATATATTTATTTTTTTATTTAGATGGCTTTATTATGCTAGACATAGAGCATAAAGATCCAGAATAGGTGTCCTAAAATAACTTAAATCCCTGAAAAAGTTAAGATTAACAAGAACACATAGGCACAATGTTTTAAAACTGATAACTTGTTTTATTTTTGTCAGGTGGTGGTGTTCTTGTCTTTGAAGTAGTGTTCTCTTTTTAAGCGGGATGTGGAACAATGATCTCACTTACTCCTCTTGACCTAGATTGGCACTATGGAGAAGCAAGGAAGCCAGAAATGGAACCATAGTTTCAAAGAAAACATTCTAAGATACCAAATCCAGTTCATAAGTAAGATATATTAATACCACCAACTTTGCCTCCCTGAGTACACTAATAGTATGGCATCTGTTCAGCTGGCATATAAATCCTGCATGGTAAGGGTCTTCTCATTCCATCCACCTTCAACAATAGTTTCTTTTAGCAATTCTTTAGAGTGTCACTTTGCAGTTAGAGATAAGACTCTTGTACAAATATCCATGTCCCTAGAAAAGGTAACATTATGACTTAAATTCACACTTTGGAAGAATAATATCAGATTTCTTCTAGAAAGCATGTTTTGATGTAGAGCAGATGATAAGATATCTCTATCTCAAATGAGAATTATAAATTGTGGGAGTTAAACAGACCAATGAGATGAGGACTAGAGAGGTTTCTGAATAAAAATGAAAGTACACATTTTTAAAGATGTCACTAAAATCCATCATAGTTGCTTATAAAATGCAGATGTGTTCAGTATTTGAGGAAATGAGTTCTATTAATGCAAAAATGAAGGAACTTTGAGCTGGGTCAAGTGGTGATGCTCAAAACCCAACTCTAAAAAGGATTGAGAAGAACATTCTTCTAAGAAACCCTAAAATTTTAGAGCACAAAAAGTGCAGTGAAGTTACTGGAATCCTCAATAAAGTGTTAATGTAAGAAATGAAAAAGATGATTCAACTTTGTGAAGACGTAGCTTACCAATAGAAAAGAACAAAGGAGAGGACATTGTCTAGTGAGCATTAATTTAGATACACAATAAAAAACACGTTCTATAATGTAGAATATTTTTCAGCAGCTAAGAGCAAGAGATTAAAAAGAAATTTATTTTTCTGCAGACAAGAAAGAAAACCAAAAATGATCATTTGACTCTGGAATTGGGAGGTGAAGATAGGACAGAGTAGCCTAAA